CCCAGGTCTCGGCGTGGAATGGCGCGGGCTGCTTGAGACGTTGCTCTCGGGCAGCTTGGGGGAGCGTGTGTTACAGAGTGTTGTTTACGCATGTGTGAGAGCGTGGTTCTTCCGTATGTTTCTCTTGTCCCCCCCAGGGCTATCCCTAGTTGCTTCCTTTTATAACCGCAAGGAGAGAGCCAGGAGTACATGAGTGAGCTACACGTGGAGCCTACTATAGTTCAGTCCTGTAGCAGCATGGTGTTGGGAATGACGATTGGTACTTGACTGACGCGCCATGTTGGTCGGGCTTGAGGTTGTTGAGGTCGTGGGGGTCCTTGTTGATGTCTAGTCAGTATGGCCTCCATGGCAGCAGACATGCCGTGCCTTGTGGATTCTTGATTTGGTGGAGCGCTGAGGCCTAGCGGGTGCTGTAGCTGATCGCGCCGAGGTCTGCTTTGCCGAGGCCTCAGAGGTGACCGAGGTATGGTACGGGGGTCTCGGCGGTCCGCGTCGTACCCGGTCTAGGTGGAAAAGTGCGGAGCAGATGTCCACAGGGCACGGTAATCCCTGCACCGTCAGTAGGGGATGGTAAAAAGGGAGATTTGACCACCGTCCCATCGCCCCTGTTACTGTACCCTGCCCATCGTGGCTGTCGTAGTAGGTGTGACCAGGCGCACTAACACGGATGGGACGGCTCGCCAGAGGAGCGGCTGAGGCGGAGTCGATGAGGATGCAGGACGAGCCCGGCCTCAGCCGTAGCGGAGAAGGAAAAGTACGTCCGAGGCCCGCCCGGAGGGTCTCGGACGAGGCGGAGGACGAGCAGTTGGGCTTTCCTGCTGTTTCCGAGACTACAGGGACATGGACTTGACCTTTCACGCCGCTTTGTCCTTGGCACAGGGGTTAGGTAGCACAGGGCAGTACGGGTGTTAGCTGGGGGCACAGTGACAAGCACAGTGGCAGGTAACCCCTGCTGCGCCCGGTCCCCTGTCCCGTCAGTCGTTCTACCCGAACTATGCCAGTGTGCGACTGACGTTGCGGGAGTAGTTGGGCGCATTAATCCGGACGCGACGTTTTGTCAGAGGAGCTGGTCGGGGTGGAGGTAATGAGGTTGTTGCTGAGCCCAGCCTCGGGCGAATCAGAGAATTGGCATCCCGTCCGAGGCCTTGCGGGGTGGGGCCTCGGCGAGAGGGCCTCGGCGGGGCGGAGGGTTTTGGCCTCTCGTCTGAGGCCTCGGCGCAAGCCTCGGGCGAATCAGAGAATTGGCCGAGACCTCATGTTTGTCCTTTGGCTTTGATTTTTGCACGGCTTAAGCAGTATTTTCGGTTCTTGCTTAGGGTACCCCTTCTTGTGGTATCCGACAAGTTAATAATTATTTTCTTGCCGATGTGGTTTATAGACAGATCTAGGAACTTAGCAAAGTTCTTCATGATAATGTGTTTTGTTGTGAAACTTGTTTATACAAAAGTTGTAGATAATTCATGTATCTAGCTTCTGTTAAAATTTGGTGTCATGGCCAAGTAGTTTAAGAGTTACAGCTGTTTAAAGTTGGGTTACAGAATTGATTGCTCTCTGTCTTGTTTAGACCAGTTTCTATAAATATATAAATTCGACCCACTTAACTTGTGAATCATGTTGTGATGGTTATAGATTAAATGTAGAGGATTTCGTAAGCTTTCTAGAATGTATTGTTGCATGGCTATTGAATTTGTATAACTCCAGTTATGATCCAAACATGCAGTTGTTGTTCGCAGTCCGGAAATTGACAGATGCTAGTTGTGGTTGTTTCCTCCATATGTTGCTAAGTGTGGCTTATGCCCTTGTTGATGGTCAAGTTATGATACTTGTGACCTTGTTAAACTTGTGTCATGCTTGATGTGCTTGCTCTCTATAGTTAGTTGTGTGATGTTAGTTAAATAGCTATTGGTGTCTATGTCTTGCATAATCTTGTGTTTGTCTTGAATGCTTCTGTAATGCATCTTGTGTTACCATTCATCACATTCATACACATGCATCTTGCATCTCATTTAGGTACGCTAGATGAACCACGTGAAGGATGTGATGTGGAGCCGCACTCAAAGATTGGGTTTGGTGGATCTATCCCGAAGATGGAAGGACTAAGCAAGTGCTAGGACCGGAGATGTCACCAAGATGGTGCAAGCTAACTGAACTGACTTGTGTCGGATCCCAGGCAAGCCCCGGAGCATTATAAGCCTCCCTATTTTATCAATGTCACTTAAAGTTATTCGTATTGCTGCATTACGTGACAGGAGTTGTTTGGAAACACTTGCTGCATATTACCTTCCTTGACCAGAAATATCTACCATGAATCCTATTTAAGTCCAGGAACGTGTATTATGCTTAGCTATGCTTAGACCGGTAGAAGTCGGGTGATTTCCTGTCACCTGCGAGCTATAGGTGATAATTTGATCACGGTTGGCTATATTGTGCTATCGTGGAACATAACCTGGTATTGTTGAATAAATGGAGACCGGGCGGAGTCTTATATGTGGTATTGTAGTGATTCCGTCTGTGTCATTTAAGGACCGGACGTTGGAGGTTTATCTTGTCATGTTGAACGCAGCCTCTCACATAGTTGGCTGGATAAGTCGTTCCGACCGCGAAGCCGAGTAGCTCAATTCAGGCCGGGACCTCGAGCGGTAAAAGTGCGCACTCTACATGGTAGTAAGGATGTGCGGAGAGCCATTGGCGTGAGTCCAAGGGATCAGGTGCTTAAAATTCCTGCACTTCTTGGCATAGTGGTTCTCTGATTGTGCGGCGCTGGTCGTATCTGCGAATTTGGTTCCTGAGTTGTACCAAAGGTGACCTAATGCGACCCTGATAGGGGAAGTATGGGTGTGTGTTAGGAATAATTCCCTAGCTGGGTAGGAATCGATTCGAATCGCCGTCTCTCCTGGATAGTGAGAACTTGACAGGAGTACACTTCATCGTAGTAAATGATGGAAATGATGGTTATGAGATTATGCAAGAACTCAACTGGATATGGTTATTATTGTGATGACTTAATGGTACCAACATGTTTGGCATAGGATAGCTGCTAATCTAGTATGAGATAGGATTAATAACTGGTGATTCACATTTAAAGAGATGTTGGATAACTTATGTTTTTTTTTCAAATAATGTATACCAGCTCTACTTATAAAGTCTTGCATACTCCTTGGTGTCTTAGTATATTAGTTGGACGGGTAAGTCTAGCTGAGTACATTCGAGTACTCAGGGTTTATCCCACCATGTTGCAGGTGAAGTTCTCGGCCTGCTGAAGATGGTGGCTAACCGCCGGTGGGCTCAGTGATTCTATATTTACTTCTCATCTATATGCTTTTGTATGAGGATGTCACTTATGCTAGCAATGTATTTGGAACTTATATTAATGTAATCAATTGAACGCTATGTTGTTTTCACTAATCGGTTTTGAAACCCAAACTTGTACTATTATTTGTGAACCAAATTGTAATATTATTTCCGCTGCAACTCTGCGTATGTGATGTGTATTTGCTTAATCATACGATCTTGGTTATGATGTTGATTTATCGAGATCCTTCATGACACTCGGCGGACTACCAGGTTTATATGAGTGAAAGTATGTGCGCATCAACGTGTTAGCGGGGACAGCCGTACTTGATCTTGTATAAATTGGGCGGTTCTGTCACAGAGCGTGTGCTCGAGGTTTAAACCTGTTGGTTCTGTTGTTGTGTATTAGTGAACTTGATCGATCTGAATCAACTTATCTGTTGGAAGAGAGCGCATCCCCTTTTATAGATGAAGGGGGTGGCCTTACAAGTGAGAGGGAGGGAGTACGTTCGCTGCTAAGTCTTGCTACCCACGCCGGCGGGTACAAGATAATGGTATGCGCCCACAATACTATTGAATGTCAGATGTACGTGGAAGGTTGCGTCGTCTTCTTCGTGTATGGCATATGTCGGTACCTGCTATACTGTTGATGCCCAGAGGCATGTGAGGGGTTTTACCGTGTTCGCCTGCTACATTAAATGCCGGTGCCCACAACACTGTCGATGCCTCAGAGGCACGTGTGGGAGCCTTACCGTGTTTGTCTGGTATGGGAGTTGATGGCGCCCACAACACTGTAGGGGAAAATGTTGGCGCCTACAACACTGCTTGTGTTCTGTCATGGCAGGGAGGTCATAGGGTACTGTCCTGCAGGTGTACATGGTACGGTCCTTAGTATTACGGTTGACTTTGAGTGCCCTACCTTACTTTCTCCATCTGTTTCCTGGTCCCTACCGAGCGGGCGTCCCCGGTCGGTTGGTCCCAGTCGGCTCTGATTGCGTCAGCCGGAGAGGAGCTGTAAGCAGGGGTTCGGTGCATCTCCGGTCGGAGAAACGGGTTGGAGTCGGAAGTGGTGTTGGGCCAGGCCTTCCGGTCGGAGAGGCCGTCCGGAGGCGGGCTGGAGACCGAAGCGAGCGCTCCGGTCGGAGAGGTGGGCCGGAGTCGAAAGCGGGCGGCGTTCCTCCTCGGCCAGGCCTCCCGGTCGGAGATTGGATCGTCCTTCTGGCCTGTCGTCTAGGTATTTGGGTCAGCCCATGAGTTGCGCGTTGCTCGCAACGTTGTCTGTTGGACCGAGCCTTTATTGGAAAGCCGATCCATGAGGGACCCCGGGTTTATGAACCCGACAGCTGCGGAGATGGCGGACAGTCGGACATGACCAGCATGGAGGGACCTACGCAGCCGTGCCGTTCCTTGGGACTCAAATTTGATTTTTCTGGAAATCATTTATTAGAAAACTACATGTTTTTATTAGGAGAAAAAAATAAAAAACTCTTACAAGCAAGTCACTCGGGAGTAAATCAGCTAGGTAGCGGATGGCATGCATGAGAAAGAATATTCTACACTTACTTAATTTGTACGTGCAGATATACACACTAGCTACTACTGTTGCCGTACGTACGTTGCCTAGAGAAAGAGAATTGAATTGAATATAGTCCCCGGCCGGCCCTCTCTACTGTGACTGGGACTATGGATGAATATGCATGATATGGTAGTCAGAGCTCGGGCAGAGGCGAGGCGGACAGGCGGCGGCGCGTCGTCGCTGGGCTTGGGCGGCGATGATGAGCAGCAGACTTGGCGCCGGGCGCGTTCAGATTCAGGTTCCGCGCCACGACCTGATGATACACATCTGGCGGTGAGTTTGGGTACCTGCGGCTGCGCGACGACCGGTGGCCACCGCTGCCGACGACGAGGAGCTGCTTCTGCGTGCCACTGCCATCATCGACGGCATCGGTGAGCTGCTGCAGCGATGCGACCACCTGGTCCATGGTGGGCCTGTTCCTGGAGTCCCGCGAGAGGCACTGCAGCGCCAAGGCCGCCACCCTGCGGGCGCCCGACAGCGAGTACTGGCCGCCCAGGCGCGCGTCCAGGATGCGGAACAGCCGGCGCTTGCTGCTCAGGTAGGGGCGCGCCCAGTCCACCAGGTTGTGCTCGCTGGACGGCCGGTTCTTGTCCAGGGCGCGCCGCCCCGACAGCAGCTCCAGCAGCACCACGCCGAAGCTGTACACGTCGCTCTTTGCTGTCAGATGACCTGTTGCGTTGCACGTACAGTACATAATCAGACAGCTTATGATTGCAGTATGTCATTATGCGCTTAACTATGCCATTGCCATGGGAGCAAGCAACTAGCGATCATATTCAATTCCTAGCTTGAATGAAACGAAATCAATAATATATATAAGATCCACACTGTACCCACCCATTGACTTTGACTTATTGGTACGAATAATTTGACTATACCACAATGTATATATACGCCGCAGCAGCTGGAATCTTTTCTCAGCAAAATTAAATATGCTTGGTAGTTTCGATGAAGCAGATGGTAAAACTCTATACTTTTTTTTTATTTGATTGAAAAGCTTTGCAGCAGTTGTGTGGCTTTTCATTCCCACATGTACATGCACATGCGGGGGTCCAGTTAGGTCTGAAACCATGACTTGTTGTCTGCACTGCGCCTGACCAACCAGACAACATATGAACTTTAACGCTAACGGATCCGAAGAGTATTCTCTACTTCTATTCTTCCTAGTGCCTCATATGAGTGAGGACGAGAACAAAATGCCAAACCAAAAAGAGAGCAGACTTTTTTTTTACATACGTACAGTTTCAAATCCAACGACCAGGACCGCTGCGCTGCCATAGGCAAATTATATACTAGCTACTCACATATATATATACTGCTCCATCTATATATCCTACGTAGACAATAATAACTATATTTAATTTCCTGCGGTTCTTCTATATAAGTATCAATGCAAGGGGATTGGATGGATCGGAGGCCTTAACAGCTAGCATTCAGACGGTTCCTTAGTGCTTCTTCTTTTTCGAATGATGAATATGCGACCGACAGATAGATATTAGGCCATACGGACTGATATTAGCTAGTATAAGGGTATCTCAAAACATATATGCATGCATCAAAAAGATATATAGGTATGTATTTAATTTGTACCTGTTGCAAGATATTCAGGAGCAGCATATCCATATGTGCCCATGACTCTAGTGGACACATGGCTCTTGTCGCCGGTTGGCCCGTCCTTTGCCAAACCGAAGTCAGACAGCTTAGCATTGTAGTTCTGATGACAGATAGATAGATGCAACCAAACCAAACCAATGAAAGCTTATTCAGTTACCTAGCAAATTAATTAAACCATGCATTTAATTTAATTAATCTTTTTTCATTCAGATTATAATAATGGGGATACTAGAGGATTATATTGATCGGACGTACTACCATACCGAATCTAGGAGGACGTTAGATGTCTTGAAATCGCGGTAGATAACTTTGGCCTTGTCGCTGTGCAGAAACGCAAGGCCCTTTGCTGCTCCCAGCGCAACTTTCATTCTAAGGTTCCAGGAGAGCGGCTGAAAATGTGAGCCCCCTGAAGCATGAAATGAAATAAATGGAGGATCCATCGATCAGCTGTTCTCAGTTGCATGGTTGGTACAAATCTAATCCAAATAATTAAATAAACACTAGCTATGTATAGCCTATTAGTAGCAAAGCAAGCTGCTTACTCCTGAAAAGATGGTTCTCCAAGCTTCCTCGGGGCATGAACTCGTAGACAAGAAGGCGCTGCTCATCTTCGAGGCAGTAACCAACAAGCTTTACGAGATTGGGGTGCGACAACTGGCCCAGGTAATTCACTTCGGCCTGCGGCAAATGCATGGAAGGTTCAGTGAGTACGTGATATATAGAAATTAAAGATGATGATGATGACGAGACCGATCAGCATGCATGCAGAATAAGGCAGGCAGGCACCAGCGGCAGTGCGGCACTCACTCACCAGCCATTCCCTGTGTCCCTGGAATCCTTCCTGGTTGAGCTTCTTGACAGCGATGACCATCCCTGTGCCGGGCCTGGTCGGGGCGAAGGTGTTCTCGTCGATCCACCCTTTGAACACGGAGCCGAAGCCTCCCTCGCCGAGGACGCTGTCGGGGCGGAAGTTCCGGGTGGAGGTCCTCAGCTCGTTGAAGGTGAAGCTCCTCACGTTGGCGGACTGCAGAATCTCGTCCTCGCTGCGAGGGGTTGCGGGATTGGAATTGGGCATGGACAACGCGGCGGAGACACGGCTGCTCCTGGAATGCTGCGATGCGCTGAGAGTCAGACCTCCCGCCTTTCGTCCTCCTCCTCGTCTTGCACACTGCTTATTATTATTATTAGAACCTGCTGCATATGCAAGCATTATTCAGAATTTCAGACAGGCATTCGATCGATCAGTTTGCAATAATATTGACTTCTACATGATGCATGCATGCATGCCAGGAAGAAATAAAGCAGCTTTCTTTTCTTTCTGCGTGTGTCTGTCTGTATGGCCAAAACTATAAGGAAAGGGAAACTACTCTGGTTGTTTTGGGGAGAAAATTAAAGGACGAGTGTAGATTAGAATAAAAATTAAATAAGGGAGTACATACATGCATATGAACGAACAGACAGGGACCGGCGGGAAGATTGATTGATAATGGACAGATGATGACCCGTACCGTACGTACCTGCTGAAGAAGGGCAGGCCGGAGATACGTTGTGGGAGCTAATCTTGGTTCCCCAGCAGTTGCCCATGGCGATGATTGATCGATTGATCTGTCGATCGGAGTCCAAGCTAAGTAATATATATAAGGAGCTAGAGGGCCACGGGATGGATGAGGAGATGGATCGATATGATGGGATATATATGCTGCAAGCTAAGCAGGCATCATGATGATCACGGGGTTCATGCAGGGCAGGGCAGCAGCAACCAAAGAAAAGCAACGCTTGGCTACTAGCTGGTTGACCACCTTGACGCCCACCAGGCCGGCCGGGCGGCCACTGTTCTACTTCTACCACTAGCTAGCGCGCGGGCGCGGCATGCAGGGGACAAGGAGGAGGGAGAGGAAACCGATCGCCATCGACGAGACAGGCAGCACACAGACTCTCAGTGCTGCTGGGTGGCATTAATGGCCGGCCGCCCGCCCGCCGCGCGCAAGGGCAAGCTAGCTAGGTGCAGGGATCCTGGATTGGATCCGAGAGGGGAAGCAGGGAAGAGGAGGCGGAAGGCAAGAAGCAGGTGACAAAGTGAGGTGAGCCACAAAATGCTTTGGCCTCCCCTCCCCCTCCTTTATACCAAGTACGCACTCGCTGCCAGGTGGACCCCTCCGTCTGTTTGGTCCATTTGGCAGTGGAGGCTGCGGCGTGCGACTTGGGCATTCACGCCGCCCGCTGGATCCGGATCGGACGGCCGTCCTTCCTCCTTTGGCGCGCGCCAGACAACCCCATATCCCGTCCGTCTCGTCTCGTCTCTGTATGTGCTACGTCGGCACTTCGTACGTTTTTACTACACTACAGGACAGGAGAGTTGACGTTACGGAGCGAGTACTCCAAAAGTAAGGCTGTGTGTTTAGTTCGTGAATTTTGGGAATTTGATTTTGGTAGTATTTTTGTTTTTATTTAGCAATTAGTGTTCAATCATAGATTAATTAGGTTTAAACGTTTCTTTCGTAATTTTCAACCAAACTGTGTAATTAGTTTTTTTTTCGTCTACATTTAATGCTCCATGCATATATCGTAAGATTCGATGTAATGACTACTGCAGCACTTTTTAGGAACTAAACAAGCCCTAAATAAAATTGAACGTGCTACCCTGCATTATTCTATTTTATTATCCATTTCTGTACGACCATCAAAGTTTAACTGCTTTATTTTTTTCCCACCACCTGTCGGTCATCAGGGTGTAGTAAAAGGCGGGCAATTCAAACCACACGGTACGGGTAGTATACTACTCTCTTTTTTTTTTACAGAAACTACTGTACTATTTATTTATAGATTAGCTAATAAAGAGCTAGCTTAGCTGGATAGAGCTTGTTCGGCTGAGCAAGAAGTCGGCTCGTTCGGCTTATTTTTTCAGCTGAGACAGTGTTTTTCTCTCACAACGAACTAGCATAAACAGTTTTTTCAGCATGAACAGTTTTTTCAGTCCAGCCGAACAAGCTCTCAGTTTCTTGTGATGGATACTGTCCAACGGGGTTTAAATCCTTGGCTTGTGTAGGTGCCTATATTTTTCTGAATTTATTCAGCTTTGTCAAACTCGAGATGTATTGGTCCTGTTCGCTTGTCTTATAATCTGTTTTGTTCGACTTCTTTTTTTAAGTCAGAATAGTATTTTCTTTCACAACAATTTAACCGGAACAATATTTTAACTTATTTTTTTAGCTAAATTTAGGCAAGCGACGGAGCCTGGCTCAATGCTCGTAGAAATAGATAGGTGAGCGGTGACTATGCATACATACGTATGAGCGTCTGGGTCCATGCGGCAATAAAAAAATAACAATACAAGAGAGCTTCCTCAATTACTACTTTATAAGCATCTAGTACCTCTCCATCTTACCAAAACAGGGCCCGATAATAACCTAACTACGGCTGGTGGTTCACACAATGCATTGTCCCAGCCTCATATGACGACATGTGTGCAACATAAATCCAGCCTCATCGGCCGTCATGTATACAACGTAACGGATGGTACGTTACTTGACCAATACATACACTACCGGAAACGTCAAATTTGTCGAGTGTTTTTACGTTTGCTAAGTGTATTCCCTCGGACACTCGACGAACAAGATATTTGCCGAGTGCTGCGCTAAAAACACTCGGCAAAATCGGAGGTTTGCCGAGTGTCAAGCTAAAAACACTCGGCAAAGAGGGGTTTGCCGAGTGTTAAAATCGGAGGTTTGCCGAGTGTCAAGCTAAAAACACTCGGCAAAGAGGGGTTTGCCGAGTGTTTTTTTTTGCACTTGGCAAAGAAATAAATTTTTTTCTGAAAAAGAAAGAGAAAAAAAAACTTTGTCGAGTGCCCAGATCTAGGACACTCGGCAAAGGAAAAAAATCACTTAATTAACCGGCCCGCCCGCGCCCTCTCTCCTCCCTAGATCCGCCCGCGCCCTCTCTCCTCCCCAGATCCGCCACCCGCACCCTCTCTCTAGCGCTGTCGTGCTGCTGCCCTCCCTCCCCTCCTCCGGTGCGCCGCTACCCTCGATCCGCCCGCGCCCTCTCTCCTCCCCAGATCCGCCCCCACGCCACGCTCTCTCAACGCCGCCCAGCCCCCCTCCCCCTCCTCCGACGCGCCTCCTTCCTCCCCTCTCCGCGTGGCTCCTCCCTCCCCCGCTCCGGCGCGCCCCCCTCCCTCCCTCCTCCCTCTCCAAGGCGTCGATGGGCCCCTCCCTCCTCCCTCTCATCTTCATCTCCCCCACAGGTGGCGGCGGCCCTCCCTCTCCCTCTCCCCTACAGGCGGCGGCGCTCTCCCTCTCCCCGAGCGCGGATCTGGCCTTCCCCCACCACCAGTGAGCCGGAGCACCTCCACAACTGGCGGATCCGGCGCACCTCCCCCTTCTTCCCCACGATGGCGGATCTGTCCTTCCCCCACCACCGGATCCGGCGATGGCGGAGGGAGGAGCGGCGGATCCGGTGGTGGATCGAGCAACCGGCGTGGTGGTGGTCCTCGCGGCGGCGGGCTTCGTGGCGTGGCGGATCTGGCCTTCTTCCCCGGCGGCACCGGCGTGGTGGTGGTCCTGGCGGTGGCGGGCTTCGTGGCGTGGCGGCGGGAAGCAAGGGTGGCGGCGGGCGGCTTGTTTTTTTTATTTTTTTCGGAAAAAAGTTTGTCGAGTGTTTTTTGCACTCGGCAACGTCTTTGCCGAGTGCGCGACAAAAAACACTCGGCAAACTCGTGTTTGTCGTCAAAACATTTACCGAGTGTTGTTTGCCGAGTGTAACTGTCGGGGACCAAATACCGGGGTACCCAATGAGGTGGAATTAATAAACCATCGAACATTGACGCTTCCGGTCAGACAAGAACGCTACTACGCTTCTTGCCCGAACGACGGAAGATTGGTTCCGCCTCGCCGGACCCCTGAGGGCTAGACTCCGCGCTCGTCCGACCCCCGAGGGCTAGACTCCGTCTCGCCCGACGGCTGAGGGCAGGCTCCGCCTTGCCTGACGGCCGAGGGCAGGCTCCGCCTCGCCCGACGACTACACCCTGTTCCTTCATAAAGACGAGCACAAGGTACGACGAGACATTCGAGTCAACCGCAGTACCAAGGGCCATGCCCTGCGTGCCTGTAGGAAGGTACTGTCATAATACGACGGAACGGGTGCTTTAGGCCCTTTCCGACCTGACAGAGTCCGAATAGTATTGTAGGCACATACTTTTGTCCTACAGTGTTGTAGGCGCCGCCATCAGCCCTCGGACGCGGATACTAACACGAGCATATGACAACCACTACGATCCAAGACAGAGCTCATATCATCCATAATGACGGACGTATGGTCACTTCCCTGTCTACTCCCCGAAGGGTCATAGCTCGGCTCTCTGGCACGCCGCACCATCCGCCGGTGTAGGATGGGACGCACCCACTTGCTGAAAGAGGCCAGGGCATGGCCCTATAAGGATCAACGAACACACCATTCCTGACACGGTCTGCCATGTTAGCAGGGCAGGCACAGGGAAAAAGAAAGACCCGACTCCCTCAAAGGACCTTCTCTACCTTTGATTTTTTCCTCTTTCTCCCATCTATAACCCCTGCTCCCCCTTGGTCTATAAAAGGGAGGGCAGGGCACCCCACTAAGGGGACCGATTATTTTTAACACACAAGATACAGCCAAGCGGCAACCGAGCTCTTGGCGTCCTTTTGACCTTTCCATCAGAGACTTGGGACCTATCCCTCTCTCGACCGTTTGTACCCCCTACTACGAATCTTTTTCGGTACTAATAACACGAGCAGCAGCAGACTGGACGTAGGGATGTTCGGCCTGAACTAGTATAAACCTTGTGTCCTTTAGTACACCATCCGAGCCTAACACGCAACAATTATAAATTTACTAGCCGGTGTTTGTTCGAAACACCGACAGTAACACTCAACAAACCCCTTGCCGAATGTTTTTGGTGCTTCGCCGAGTGCCCTTGACACTCGACAAAGATCCTATATCCGGTAATGATAGGTCTTGTTTGGTACATCCATAGGGAAAAAAGCTTTCCTGAGAAACTGCACAAACGAAGAAAAACTGTTAACAAAATAAGTTTGTCTGGCCTAATTTATCTTGTGATTTAGTACAAATGCATCCACTTTGACCTTGAACTTATCAGCCATAGTATAATATTTTTCTCTCACAACAAATCAGCGAACAATATTTTTCAGCCTGGCTTTTTAACGAAACTAGGTAGCAAATCAAGTGGATGCATGGTACTATGTTTAGATACATAGATTTTACTATATACTTAGATATACACTATGAATAGATACGTAGAAAAAGTAAAAATAAGCCAAAACGTCTTATGATTTAGAACGAGTAATCTACAAACATCAGTATATAAATATATGTTATATCATTTAGATGGAACAGATGTAGGTTATGTATTGATTTGTATTCAAATTAAAAGTTCTGCTTTTGAAGGATTTTACTGAAATATCGTTGAAGAAACCAGTAGTAGTCAAAGACTATTGTCGGGTATCGATATTAGGGATACCCAAAGTAAAGAAGTTAGCACCCACGCTGACTTCTCCCGGATGGCTCAAGACGTATTAAAAGGTCTCGCC